TGTGGAATGTGTCCCATGGTATCGCGAACGTACGCCCGCGTATCACGGCCCTGCTCCGACCGTCCCCTAATCAGACTCTAATTGCTTCATCGCTCTAGAAATTACACCGGCGGCAGGCGTGAGCGCGAATCAACCGGTCGGCCAAATGCGATTTCATCATCGCGACGGCTCCGTTCGCCAATTATGCTACGAAACGTGGATGCATGCTACCTACGAGCCCTCGAGATTAGACTTCCTCGTTCGTAACTTGGCTTTTAGCTCGTTCCTCAGCTAAGAAATATGTGTCCTCGGTCGCCGGAAATCGCCTCCTACGTTCGCGAGCAATTTGAACCGCGCGAACACGCGTTACAACGTTTCATGATCAACCGACGAACCCATAGATCAATCCCTTGCCGAATCAAAGGATCCGTCAGTTCTGAAAGGGAAGAATCAACCCCCGCGAATCGTGCAACTACAATTAACAAGAAACTTTCCTCGTTGCTTTCTCTATTCTATCGGCATTGGACGCTTCAGGAAGGTTCATTGTTTCGACAATCGATTCGTTACGAGAAAGCTTCCTGACACGCTACCGATCGCAAGAGGCGTCGAGAACTTGAACGACCAACCGAACACCAAAAAAGGACAAAATTTTCGTCTAAGCAGCGATTTTATTTGCGGAACGAAACGTCCTCCGTCGTTCGATGAAAATTTTGCCTTGTGGTAAACGAGAAAGAAAGAAAGACAGGAACGAAAACATGTGGTGGAGCAGGGACGCGTACGGGGGTAGATACCGCGTTGCATTCTGGGCAGTAAGGTCGTTTTTTTTGTTCATTTTTCATTAGGACTAGTGTTCGGCACTGAATCACGGACGTCTCATTCGGATTCTAGACCCGGCCGCCGTTCATTCATTGTTTGCCGAGTAAATTCTCTAACGCGAAACAGCCTGAACCAACCCTCGTCCCGTGGAGAACACGATGAACGTCCAGGCTCGACGGCGGATGCTCGTCGCAGACCCGGCCTGCGGCGGACAGCGCGTCGGCGGACAGCACCAGGAGTTGTGTTTCTCCCGGCTAGTACAGCGTCGCTATAGATACATACTAGAAATACCTTGGAGTCGCGGTGACTATCGAAAAACAGGGAGAGAGAGAAAGAGAAATGAAAAAAGATCAAATGAAACATTGAATACCTCGCAACGAATCACCTCGAAATTGTACTTTCTCCCGTTTAAAAGCTGAACGACGATTGGCAACGCGCGGTCTCGTCGCACGAGAGAGAACCGCCTAACCACGATCTACGATCGGCCGCGAAGAAAGCGACGATCCTCGTTCGCCTTCGTCGGCCCAGAACCCGTTAACGGTCGACGTCCCTGAGCCAGGCGGGCCAGGATTAGTCGTGACCGAAGACGACTCGTCTGACGAGGACGCAGCTGGTCACCAACAGGATCAGGAGGTAGATGTCCGGCGCCGCGTTCACGGCCAGCCCGCAGAGGTCTCTGATTTCGCTCTCCCTCGGGTGAGTGCGTATGCAGGACTCTGGTCGCTTCCTCTTCAGAGTGGTGAGCGCCTTCTGGCACACCAGCGAGTTGTTCTCGTACGTCACCTCCTCCGGCACGACGCTCAACGGGGGTGACATCATGTCGATGCAGTCCGTGTTCACAACCAACAGTAGCATGTTGCTGAAGTCCACCGGCTGGACGATGTACGGCCTCATACACTCGTCGTTCGTGCTCGGCTCAACGTCGAACGAGTCGAAGGATACGTTACGCAGGTACAGGTACACCTGCAAGATGAACAGGGTTCAGAGCGTTAACAGCTGAGAGCTGTGAAAGTAAAAGCTAACAGCTAAGAAGGTGAATCTTCGATATGAGCCGTTCAACAGCCGGTCCATTGTTTAATTGTTGAAGATTTGATCGTTACGGCACTTGATTGACTCTCAACTTTGTATGTTTAGGAAAGTTTTCTGTTTGAATACATAATCCTAGCGCTATCAATTCAAAACACGTTGATTGCCACGGTGGTCACTGACTGGAGCTTCGAAATTGCTTGAAAACGATTGCAATAAGAAAATTGATATCGAATAAAAATCTTTAGTAACATAAGCAGGTAGATAATAGCGTAATATGAGTACTGTAATACCAAGTAATTACTAATTACTTCTAATACTATTTGCCTTTACTACGAAGGAACAAGGATTACTATAAAAAAACGTTCGAAATTCTCGTGGCAGTCAACGTGTTGATCGTTAGAGCGATTGCTAAACGACAGTGTCTACGCTCGTACCTCTTTGTCGCAAGCCTCCGGCCTGGTGCGATTGATCAGAACCTTCTGATCGAACATTTTCTCGTCTTTCGCGTCGACTGGCGCCTTATCTTCGTTCTCCTGGTAGTCCTCGTGGATACCCTCCTCCTCGTTCGGGTAAGCAAACGCCTCAGCGTACTCGGATTCCCAAATTCCAGCTTTGGCCCAAGCCCAGGCTGCTTGCCCCACGAGCCAGGCGATCAGTTTCTGGACGTTCTTCCACGGCTGAAAGTAATCAGTCGTCAGTACCCATCAGCGACGCGAGGAATCGCCTTTCCGGAAGAGTAACTGGCGAAAAGCCAGATCCTCGAGGCGCCTAAAAAGAAATCTCACCGTGAGCAAGATATTCGCGTCGTTGCTGGTCTGCGTGCTTTTGAAGCACACGGCTTGGTAATCGAATATCCTGATCCTCTCGAAGACGCCCTCCTTTACGAGGTTGGCCATGATCGGCCCCCTAAGCTCGCCGAAGAACTTGCCGGCGTCGGTCTCGTCCTCGGCTGCAATCACGTAGCCGTTGTTGTCGATCAAGTAGCAGGCCCATTTGTCTGCGCCGCAATGCGCGTGACAGTTGCCCTGTCCCTCGCAATTGTACGTTATATTCTGGAAGAGTCCTTGGAGGGCGGTATGCTGGAACTGGAAACCCACGACCGCGACTGGCGCCTTCGTTCCTTGGGATCCTGAAGAGCAATCAACATTGGTATCGAGGGAAGAAAATAATCAAGATCCAACGAGTAAGATCATTCAAGAATTTTCCGAATGTTTGAGCTCTATCGAAGTTCCAGCAGAGTTAATCTTTTAAGTGTCGCCCCCTTTTATTGGTTTCTTTTTGTTATTATCAGTATTATTTTTTAAAAAAATATTAAATTGGTCTTAACACTAGATTTACGGAACGAGTCAATTTGACTCATACTGAATTTCATAAACATTATTTGGTAAATGTTTTGGTCGATTTTGATTGATGATCCCAATTATCTACTTTCAAATCTTTGACTTCTAAGATGTAAATGAGCGAGTATCGATCTTTCTGAAAATGGTAGAACAAACTATATAGTAAATTTTCGTAAATCTAGTGTTAAATTGTAGTGGCTCGTTTTACCGATAAAAATGGCACGGCTGGCAGTGACAATGGTGGTATTATCGGCACCCTCCTCGTCGATTGGCACAGAGAACACGAAACTGTCCGGATTCACGTAGTGCTGCTCCACGGCACGCTTGTACCACACCTCATCTATGGCTTTATAGTACATCTTCTTGCTGAAATGGTCCTCTGGGATGTTAGCCTCCTCGTCTGTCAGAAAGTCCTGCCATCTCGTCAGGCCACTGTGGGTGGACATGAACGCGAGCGTCACGCCGAAACGTTGTTGGAACTCTTCCCTACAAGGAGAGGAATGTTAAACTCCCGGCTGAAGATTTCCGGTTTAGATAATAAGACTTCAGAGGATTAGTATTTTCTAATGTTCAACGCTAGCGCGATACGGCGGAGCCATTGGTAATTCGTCTGCGTTGCCGATAATCGTACGATCGAGCAAGGAAATGAATTTTGTTCGTGGCATTTCGAAGAATGACAGCTCTGCAAGCGAGTTTCCAATTTCGAGTCGCCACTGTACAATTGAAACTGGCGGAGCCTGATCTTCCAGTTCCTGGCTCCCCTTGGCGTCTCTTCTTCTTCGAGATCCCTGAAAGATTACCGTCCTTGGACGGCTCGCGATCGAATCGCCGATTAAGAATCGCAGAGAAGGAGTAACGAAATCAGTAGAACGCAAATTACTTGGCGGAGATGAAAGGGGGAATGTAGAATGAACGTTAATGGAAACTGTGTCGCTTCAACTGGCGATAAATGAACGGGCACAACTGATATCGAAACTGAAAGGAAAAGATTGACAGAACGTTACAAAAGGAGAGAGAAAGCGGATGGAAAAGAAGCGATAAACAACGAACGGCAGAAGGACAGAAATCGTTAGCCTCTAAAAAGAAAACGTAAGGTGCGTTGTGGTGGACGTTACCTGGGCAGCAGATTCATCAGCCTAGCTAAAGGTCTGCATGGCGTCAAAGTGGTCAGTATTAGTAAAAAGGAACGGGCGCGTTTTGTTATCCTGAAGATAAAAATAAGAAAACGGAACGAGAGAAAATTGTGCAGAAAACGGAAAACACACAGATAGAGGAACGGTCACCGAAATAATGGTCTCGCTGTTTCCGTTAAATGGCAACGAGGTGTTCGCGCGTCAGCTTATTATTCTATCTTTGACCAGAAAAATCTGAAAATATCTTCTTCCACACGATTCGACTAACAATTCAACGCACTCGTATCGGAACGGTAGAGAAAAGTATGTTTCTCCTGCTAGTATGCAAGACATTTCCCGACATTCTTAACGGCGCCTTGGTCTTTTATCTTCCAAGAACGACCACGTGTCACATGCAGCACGCATTTTAACGCTTGTAACAGACAACTCGATGCTCACCCTTTTTCTTCGCGTGTGGTGCTGGGGTTCGCAAACCATTCGGTTACCTTTGCGTCGAACACCAGGCTATGTAGAAGTTCTCTATCGCAGTAATACGACTCCTTGTCCGCTTTGTATGCCGTGGCTGTCCAACAGAAACCATATTTTGAATTGTTTTGAAATTATCGTAATCACCGAACGCATTTTACGCGATATCTATGTCGTTTCTCTTTTAACCCCTCGACTTACAATATCGTGTCAGACTTTTAAACTGAATTTGAGAAGCCTAAGTATTATTCATTCTTTTTTTTTTAAATATAAATTAAGTATTACTTTTCTATGGTTAATCTTTGGAGTAAATGAAAACATAGACATCCAAATTGTTTCTTTTCTTAATAAATTATTAACGATAAGGTAGTTGTATCGATTATAGTTCAAAATGAAATCATAGGGCAAGGGGTTAACTCCCTACATTGATCTTTGGGATAAGGAACTCTATTACGCCGCGGACATTGCAGATCAGAGGAAAGGTTCAATTTTGTCGGACAGTGTGTTACTATTAGAATTATCCTGTCGCAAGGACACCTACGTTTCGATTTACGATCGGTGTCGTTACCGGAACTCGTGGCCGAGTATTCTGGCGGCTGGGATGGTTGTTTCATGTCTTTCCATTTCCAGCCTGGCTGGTGGATGCGCTTAAGGAAATGTAGGAGCTGACCCTCAGAGTTATTGAACGATCGATCACCTTCGTAGTGATATCTGGAACGGTGAAACCCGATATTAACTACCTATTCGAACTAGATTTACGAATGAAACGGTTTACTCGATTCAGATTCAGAAATCAAGGGACTCGCTTGACTAAAATCGAAATTTTAAGAGACTCACTTGCAGTACAACCAATGAGGATGCACCCGCCAGTTCGAACCAGTGAAATAATCCGATAAGTTCGTGCCTGCGACAGAAAATATTGTTAAGATGATAAAACCGATTAAATATGGAATCTTAGATGTCGCTTTTGTCCCCGGTTTTTATGAGCGATACGTACCAGTGATGTGCAAACGATGTATTTCCTGGGTTGCGTGCACGCGATTACTTCCGGTGTGATCATATTCCGGCAGACTGACCACCACCGTGAACGGTGTGTTCGGTATACCCGTGTAATCGTATTTCCTCTTCACTCTGCCCACCCGTTTCTACAAGAACAGAACCAGAACAGAAACACGTTGTTCGATAAGAATGCGGCGTCTTCTAGCACAGCCTAACCACTCCATTCTTCGGTTAATTACGAAATTAATTACCATATCGTCGTAATGATACTTTGTGAGAAGCGTGACGCTACCGTTCTTCTGATTGACCACGTCATTCCGAAGCTGCAATTAAAACATAGTCGCGCTGTAGCTACAGAGATTTGCTCGAGATGCGTAAACGATGAAGCTTATTTCAAATGATTATGAGTTTATTTAAAACAATCGTTTACCATAAGAATTCCCTCGTCGAACTCCCTTGGTTCCCTATCCTGATCCATCAGCTCAACCTCCGCCATGTCAACGCTGTTGTACGCTGGCTTCAGGATGCCTTGGAACTATAAATCACAGCTTTGATTAGTCATAGATAATATTAATAATAATAATAATAATAATAATAAATAATAATAATAAATAATAATAAATAATAATAAGATAATATTAAAGTGCGTTACAAAGTATAACATAAATAATATATAAATAAGAATTAATTAATGTGTGATAGGTAATAAGGAAATTATCTTAGCGTATAAATAAATTCAGTAAACACTAGATAAGCAGAATTTATAAAATATTAATCAACATTATTCTTCTCACGGTACTAACCGTGTTTAACTCTTTGCGATCGGTGCCGCCATAGTGGCGACATTTTCCTTTTTTTCTGAGTACAGTGTTATTTTACGATCGAGAGGTATTGTATTTATTATTCTTTACAGTATCTATATTCAACGAAACACATTAACCTCAACAAATTGTTGAAATCCATATATTTATTATAAACCACCTATAGAAAAATAACTTTGAAAACATATTTGCTTCGACTAGTTGGTACTGTCGCCAGAAAAATGTGCCGATCGTAAAGGGTTAAACCATTCAGATGAATGCAATCAACAATTCCTTCTCAAGATATATATTGCTCTTATTAAAATTACCACTGGTCGGAGGTCGGGATGAATCAGGATGAAACCGTTATTGGTCACGATGAACGCGTATCCGTTGACGCCGAGCTACAGGGGATAAAAAGTGTTTTCTATTAATTCATTCAATTTAACTGGTAAAAATTCAGTGTAGATCGACTCACCCTGTGCGGCATCATGAGTTTCTGTATTTCTTCGATCGGAACGTCCGTGCCAGCGACACCGAGGAGATCAGCGATCCGTGTCTGCGCAAAGAAACACGTGACCGTTTCAGAATGATTCGGCCTGCGTGATATCGAGGCTCGTGTAATCGAAAAATGAATTACGAGTCATTATCATCCCAAGTCGCATAACCAATAAGCGTATCTACCTTTCTCCAATAAACGCTATCACAATGAATTCCTCTAAAGACACACTGTACTAGTATGAAAACAAAATAACGATATTTACTAAAGAAACGATAACAATCATCTCTGACGTACGGCTGGATGTATAAAACTAGCTCAACTACGGTCTCAATAGAAAACAAAAAGGAAAGAAAGAGAAACCAAGAAACGATAATAATAAAGAACGATACACAATAATAAGAACAATTAATATCTGACGCAGGCTCTCCTAAGTGTCAAAATGATCAAATTACAATTAGCCGCGCCGTTTATCGTTCTGTCGATTCGTTTCTTCTTCGTGGATCCGCTCGATTCTCTGTTTAATAACGATTATCGGATCAAGTCGTAAATAATCACCGTTACCATCATTCATTCATCAACGATACATCATCGATCGTCGTCAGATTCATTAGTCGACGTTTAATTTTGCACATTCCAAATTAATATCGAGGGTTCCGACGATGTATACGGCAGATTTTATCAGTCATTTGATCCAATTAAAATGCATAATCTACGATCTACTGCCGAATAGAAATCATGAAAATCTATTTGCTGGGAACGGTGATTGAAATTTCGATAATTCCTTTCCTTTTCTTCCGTCGGATCTGCGGGAGAAGAAACTATCGCCGGAACGGTGCCCGACTGAACTCTACTAGATTACTCGTCTAACTCAATCTAGCACTGAAGAAAAACTGATCAATCCGTACCGTGTACACGTGTGTGCTCAGTACTCTTTTACTTTTTGAACCCGAAACAGAAGATTCTCTCTTACGTTTCAGAGCATGTATATGTATATATACATATATACGTATATAATCACCTCAGAACGAGAGTTCTACTACGGATTCAATGGTAATAATAGTAGTAATAATAATAATAATAGTAATAATAGTAATAATAATAATAATAATAATAATAATCATAATAACGATAATAATAATAATAATGATAACAATAATAATAATTCAACAGGAGGTATTCGCCGTTCGCAATCCAACAGGCGGGCAGGATAATCCGTGTTTCTACTCGTCTCGAACAGGGCACAGGGTAGACTAAAGTACCTAAACCTACCTAATGATTAAACTAAATTCAGAACTAGTGTTAGACCAAAGTAAGATACCAGAGAGACGAACGTGGACCTAAATGAAACGAAATATCGCCGCGCGGCCTTCGTCTCGCCTCAGGGATATATTTATTCTCATTTTCAAACTACCAAATAATATAGTTTCATATTGCAATCATCGCAGAAACTGTTAATCATATAAACGAGATGAATTTAGAAATCTAGCATTGATATTAAGTAAGACGTACAATTGTATATAAAACGTATTGGACAATTTTCAGCTGTTTCCAATTATAGGAGAAATATCGCGATTGTTTCGTTTGACAGACATTCTGCGCCTACGAACATCAAGAAGAAGCGTCAAGAAAATTTTGGAAACGAGCATTTGAAACGTTTTAATCATCTTTCGAATCTAATCGTAGATTCGAAGAGAATCAAAATGGCGGTGGACGGCCGTTGTCGGCCCGCCCTTAGACACGGCAACCCAGAGGCGATGGCGTCTGCCGCGCGCGGGTACAAAAGGCGAAAGGGTTACGGGGCTCTATGCATCGAAACAACGTTGCTTTGTGTTTTGTTTGTGTTTTGCTGCCAACCTCTCTTGTCTCTGTCACCCAGTACGCCTCGTTCACCAGCACCTGCCTTGTGATGTTCTGTGGACAAAGAGGAGCTTAAAACCAAAGGAAAATCGGATTCGTTCCGCGCACGCTTGAGAACCTACCCTAACGTCGGGGATGGCTCGAAAAGAAAGAAAGGGCTCGTGGGGTAATGATAATGAATGGATGGCTCGATACGTGGCGAAATTCGAATGTTACTCTCTTATCGACCGATTGAACTTGGTATTCTGATATTATAGTCTGATTAAAGTCGCGTGGATCGCACAAGATCCTTCAATCAGAAATTTCAACGATTCCATACTAGAACAAGACTTCTAACTAGTCGTTCGCTAGAAGTTGTTGTTGTTGTTGTTGTTGTTGTTGTGTGACCAAGCGATTTTTAATCAGACCATAACACTGCGCAGATGCATACGTGAGTGCATTTCGATACTGAGAATTATTAATAGAACGGGGTTAACGGTACACGATGATGGGGACGGTATTCTATTCTCGATAAAAAACTTTCAGGACACGT